AAGTACTCATTTTAAAGTTATTTTTAGCCTGGGTATTTCCAAAGCATAACAATTTTTGTGACTATGAAAGCACAGCCAAGACTGTCATTTCGCTTACCCATGATGTTTTAATTTAATACATGATTATTTACCGGACACAGTGTCTTGCTGGCTGTCAATTTACCAGTCCCCAAGAAATTTTACCGGCGATTTTCAGGTATATACCGGAGAACGGAAACACTGCTGATACCCAGAGATAATGTTTCTTGGTTGGGTAGCACCATGTCCAAGCTCATGGGTTTCACCAAAGTGGGGAACTTCTAACTCCTTCTTTACTTTGGGCTTTCCTCCAACATTAGACAGCAAAACTGTTCAAATCTGTGTTAGCCCAAACTAACAATCCCATCATAATTTGTTGTGTGTCAGTTTTCCTCTAATCCGCAGATTTCCACCGATTTTATTTCAAATGGATCAGTTCTCTTCTGTGAACCAATTCAATGACACAATATTAAGTTTCCTGCTGAAAATAGATTTTCCTGTTGCCATCCATGACATTATATTACTTTCTTTATTTCAAGTTGTATCACAATGTATATTTCTCTGCTTCTGGTACTGTCTGTGAAGCCAGTGTGTGAAATTTATGGTGGTCCTGTGGTCCCTGGCAAGTAAAAATTCATCAGGACCACTAAATGATAAGTTTGCAGTGGTCCTGGTGGCCAGTGAATTTTGTATTGATAGTTAAGTAAATCAACAAATGTTATTTTGGACCAGTGAAGTTCAGGCAGGACTGCTAATTATTGTCCACTCACTGGTCCTGTAGTCTAGTGGGAAATTTTGAAAGGTTTATTTCCCTGTGAAGCCCATTTCTGGTGTCCACCTAGACATTGCTGGAATATTGCTAGAAGCGGCGTAAAACCAAACTCAGTCAGTCAGTCGGTTGGATTTGAATAAATATCTTGTATCGTGTATGCTGTTCTGATATAGAAAGAATATGATAGATATAATGCAGGGGGTGAATACTTAAGTCGAATGTTTAGGGCAGACAGTTTTTATTGATGAATGATCAAAGAAGAATTGGGCTCAGATAGTCAACAGACTCCCACACTGTTGTAAGAGATCACTCCCTGGATGAAGTGCTATCAGAATGGCAAAGAAAAGGACTTGAAGTAGTTTCACTGATAACATTGCAGTGTTGCTAATGTCCTTCCTGATCTATAACAGAATATTTGTTGTGATCACACGAGGAAATGCAGTTGAAAGGGTCTTGCATGTTAAAGCATGCCAGTGTTTTTAAGGACCAGTCAAGGTAGTAAATCTAGTTGTGCATATTATTGCTCGCAATATGCAGATCGATAATCAGAGGTCAGTAATCAATCAATAATCGATTGTAATCCTCAAAAATAATGTGGGCAATAACGAGACTCAAGACGATTGAGGATACTTCCTGTTGAGACATGCATGCGAGTATGTTGTTCACATTGCAGTTTTATGAGTCAGGAAACTGCATCAGTAGTTTATGTCTTGATTTAACAAACATAACGATAAGAAACATGCTTTCTAAAGTTCAATTTCATGTTTCATTTTTTATGAATATCGATTACTCTCCCGGGCCCATCGATAATCGGTGACACAAGCGAGATTGATCAATTGACAGATTATTTGGTCAGTGGCTCCAGCACTAAAATCTTGTGCAAGAAATATATAATAACTCTGATAATAAATGATGTGGGTAGTAGGTGACCATGTTGTGAAGAGTATCAAGCTGGGTAGCAGTTGCCCACTTATTGCTTTTGTATATCACAACATGAGGAAGTGAGTTTTTAAGTGTGTTGTACAAGCAGTATAGAGCAGTTCCTGTTGAAGTGACGATCAGTAAACACTGTTGGACATACGGTGCACAGGGTAATGTTTGCATGTTTATGGAAAAGAGGATAAGTATAGACTTGAGAAACAATGGTTACTGTGGTAGATGCTCATTAAGGCCAGCTCAAGATGGCCTTAAAATTATACCGTCTCTTGTGTATTTGTTAAGTTTGTTGATTGTTAATCAATCAGTGTTCTGTTTATGTTATCCGAAAGGAAGTGATATCATAATGCATGTTAATATGTGGTTATTTCATGGATGTGATGTGTATTTTGTTGTAACATATTACACTAAAGTATGAGTCTTAATATATTGATATACGGTATACTTTTTATGTGAAAAACTGTAGATGATAATCTCTACATATACATGGCTGTAACAGCTAGACTCTTTATCATATTTTACCCATCACAGTGAAATTGTCCATACTTGCAAATTGTCACATGTAGATGAACTCACACATATAACTGAATTATATTAGATTTAGAGTTTTGACAATGTGTAATCAGTTGTCATGTATAGAATCAGATGCTGCACATACTGAAACTCATACATCATCAGATGAGGAAAAGTGGAAAAAATATTTTGAAACAACAAAGGTGAAATGTGACACTTTACAGCTGAAGTGAGGACAAATACTGTTGATTGGCTTATTAGCATGAATTCTTTCTATACATGCTGGAGCTTGTACATTCTATAATATTGATGTGATCAATACAGAATGACGACATGGGGCTGATGAGCTGGTCAATGAGTTGCCTAACCTTTTGGGCAACAGTTGCCTTAACCCTTTCACTCCCATCTCATCATGTAGAAGCTAGTCCACAATGATTGTCATGGGTATAGCTTGTGAGCAGTATATTTTGAATATGTCTCTATGCTGGTAAGAAGCAACTGGATTGGATGGTCAGGCTTAGTGATGAGTTGCTTTTAGCAACATTCCAGCAATATCACAGCAAGACACCGGAAACCGCCTAAGTAAAGACCATGCTTAACTAAACAGACCTGATAAGTAAACACTTTTCTTTGGTCCCGGCAAATTTCTTCATTAATTATCACTATTAGAGTCCGGTTAACTAAACTCGGATAAGTAAACAATACCGCTTAACTAAACGTCTTCTCACGGTCCCTGGAAGTAAATTACTTAACAAAAGAGACTGGATAACTAAATTAGCGATCACCACATAATCCGACATGAGGGGCAGTCGTGTCAGTCTCCAGTCAAACAAACATCCTACTTACAGCTCGCTGGCGTCATGCAGTTGACAATACACTGACAACTGGAGGCCAGCCCTGATAAGTTGTTCATTGTTACATATGCATACATATACATGCATATGGTTGTCATTTGCAGGTTTTTATAAGTTTGGATAAGTAAAATACCTGATAAGTAAACAATTTTGGCGAGAAATCCCTTGAAATTTTACTTATCAGGTTTCCACTGTTTATAAAACAACCAGTTTTAGAAATACAGTGCATGATGCAGTTAAGCATGCAATTCAATGGGGCTTTGTCATAATGTTGGCATGCTCGAAAGATTACAGTGGTCCCAAGATTTAACTGTCAGTGAAGACTCACCCAAGAAACCTCTTTAATTTTGCACAATGATGATAACCATGATTACTAAAAATGTCTTTGGATTTTCATAATCGACAGAGACTGGAAAGTTTCTTGTTTTGTTAAACATGTCTTATGCACTCAATGAGATATTTTTTTGAATTTCAATAATTTTCAAAAGTTCATATATTAATATATTAAAATGTGAGTTACAGGCTTGTGGGTATGATGTGCTGCTGGTGCTGTTAGGGTTAATTTTTGTGATTGTTCATGTTAATGTTGTCAGTGTTATTGGTGAAGGAATCAGGAGCCCTGTATGGAGCAGTGTTTGATTGTCTTCAGGTGATGTTGACAGGAGACGATCATCAAACATACACTAGCCAAGGCATGCACTGAGTACACGTCGTTCCCTCCTCGGCCCATGTCACTGTTGTTATCATACGGGCAGCCGCAGAATTTTTCGGGTCAGGAAATTTGGATAGACTTGTCAAATCTCAGAAGGAAACTGCGATGCATTGCAATAATATACTTTTATTTGGTGAACGTCTGGTTTGAGAGGAGGGGTATATGTTATATGTTGGGGTATATTGAACTTTCAGTTTGAATAATGCTGTTCTTCATAACTTCAATTGATTAAACATGGCTGGAAATATGGAATTATATGTCTATACATATTGAAATGAATTACATCTAATGATCTCACTGCATAAGTATTGCCACATACATGAGGGTCCAAATTTGTTACAGTGATGAATTTGTTTCATGTGATCTGAAAGAGGTTTTTGTATAACAATTGTTGTGTTGGTATTTTGTTGAATATTGTGGTATTGATTCAGGCTGATCATTGCCATTTCTCAAACCTTGGGTACCTACAGAGATGCCCAACATTTGTGGCATAATAATTACACTATTGAACCAAAAAATACACTGTTATGCTTTTCCTAACCGCAGATTGTGTTTTTACTATTGTGTATCTTGAATCATTTATATGCAGGAAATGTAATGGAGAGGAAGTCACATGGAGCATTCGACAGGGAACTTCTTGCACATACAGCCACATTTCTTTTGAACTTGAAACACCACATTTGTGTTAGTGCATTACAGTTAACAGTGTATTGTGTGGAGCTTTCACGTGTGTTGCCAAGACACTTTCAACAGGTTTTTCTAAAACCTTGGGAGATGGGGGAACACCCAACAGCTTGAGTTAATGTTCTTGTTAGTGAATGCTCAATATTTCCAATGTTTGATAACTTTGATATTCATTTTTCAGGGATATTCATATTAAACAATTCAAAGTCAAAGTCATTTTGTTTCAGTATTTTTCAGAGGTTGCAAGCTGCTATATTACTTGCATCAATGCATGTTTCCTATGTTACACATACATCTATCTATAGGCCTAGCAAACATGCTAAATGGACTTTTTTTAGCCTCATTGGTTACACCAAAGCCTGAAAACCTCAGTTAGTGTTGACATCACTGCTGCCAAGTTAAGTATGCTAAATTAAGAGGCAGGAATAACTGGCCAGGATTTAAACAGGAACATGGGATTGTGATAAGTTAGGAAATGCTCAGTGCTCATAGTGTTGTTTCTCTGTTTCAGGTGTTGACGATGAAAGTGAACTGTAACCGGCACCAACTGTAGACAATGGGAGCTAACTCCTCCCTACCTGAGAGGACACAGGCTTCTGCAAGGTCTGCCTTTGCCCGCCTCTCTCAGGCCTATGTTGTGTCCGACGGTGAACTTAGTGCACGCGACAAGAAGAAAAAAACATCCAAATTTGCCACACTTCGTAAGAAGCTGATACGAGCAAGACGGCACAGTCGATCATTGGATTATGGCAAGGCATTACGAGAATTAATTTCCACATGGCATGTTCGTGATATAAGTGCATTGGTTCATGAGTACGAGGCTCTTGCAGCATTGAAGGAGTTGGCAGCAGCTGCAAGTCTTGCTCGACCCATTGCCCACACCCTACGCCAGGACCTGGCAACACTCTATGAATACAAATTTTGCACTGATGTGGATTTGATATATCGTGGAGCCTGTTTTCCAGCTCACAGGTCAATCCTGTCATTGAGAAGTCCATTTTTCAGGAACCTTTTGTCTCACCATCCAGACTATGGTGCATCAGTACTGGTAAAGTTGAAAACACCAAGAGTGGATATTCATTTGTTTTCAGCCTTGTTACGGTATCTCTACACAGACGAGCTGAACACACAAGAACTGAGTATAGAGACAAATGAGATCCTGCCACAACTTGCGGAGGAGTTTGGGATACCTAATCAGCTGGAACATGATCTAAAGGTGCTGCTGGACAACAGTGAAAACAGTGATGCTGTGTTAGTCTTTTCCTCTGAGAATGACCAGGCTGAAATGCTCGGGGCCAGTCTGGCTGAGGCCTCACAATCTATGCATTGTTCTAACCGGACTTCAAAGTTGGAGTTCCCTTGCCACAAAGCCATCTTGGCAGCAAGGTCTCCATTTTTCAGGAACTTGATCATCAGACGAGCTCGATCTGGTGAGGAACTGACAGAACGGGCTCTGCATACCCCATCTAGGATAGTATTAGACGAGTCTGTGATCTCGCGGCGGTATGCAAGGGTTCTGCTTAACGCAGTGTACCAGGACACAGTGGACCTGTCGTGTATTGTGCGAGGTAGTTCCAGCATGTGCAGTCTCAGTGAGGTCCAGGCAATGGTGTCCAGTGGGCGGTGTCAGATGACCATAGTAGACGAAGCAATGGAGATCTATCAGATAGGACAGTTCCTTGACTTCCCTGTTCTATCTCAGGGTGAGTATACTATAAGTGTGAAAATATCCTTAGTGTTAGGAATATGTAACTATGTTGACATGAGGAAAGACTATGCTCAACAATATTGGAGGTAACCTTATAGTCATGTTATGATAAAAGTAATAGGCATTGGTTATGTATGCATGAGCAGTTATTGTCAGATTTTGACAGGGTTCAAAATTAGCATAAGTCCCTTTTCTAAACTGATACTTGTCATCAGTTCAGGATCAGGAACTCAGAAGCATATAATTGAGTTAGCAAACTTGTTAGTGGTGCTTGATTCATTCCTGTTGAGCTGCTAATTGGCCTCATCCCAGCACCATACCCAGTTCCCCAGTCCGCCACGTTTCCCCCTTAACATGCTCAGGTAAAGGAAATAACATGAGTTGAACTGTGTTTAAGGTATTTTTTATGCATTGTATGAGTGAGTGATAAATGTTTAGGTCGGTTTTTAGCAATATTACAGGACATCAGAAATGGGCTTCACATTGTACCCATTGGGGAATTAAACCTGGATATTCTTCGTGACAAATGCATTGAATGAACAGGATAATATTAGCTTAGTCAGGTATTTTAATTTTTAATTTCCAACTTCAGAAGAAAAATTGAAAGGTATGATATATCTACGTATCATTTCATGTAGAAATCATTGTCAGCAATCAAAAACAAGAGGTTATCTTGACCAGCAATAGCAAAACAAGAGGTCACCTTGACCAGCAATAAGAGGCCACCTTGACCAGCAATAGCAAAAGAAGGAGCCATCTTGACCAGCAATAGCCAAGCACCTTGACCAGCAATAGCAAAACAAAAGGCCACCTTGACCAGCAGTAGCAAAGAAGAAGCTATCTTGACCAGCAATAGCAAAACAAGAGGTCACCTTGACCAGCAATAGCAGAAACAAAAGGCCACCTTGACCAGCAATAGCAAAAGCAAAAGGCCACCTTGACCAGCAATAGCAGAAACAAAAGGTCACCTTGACCAGCAATAGCAAAAAGAAGGAGCCATCTTGACCAGCAATAGCAAAAACAAGAGGTCACCTTGACCAGCAATAGCAAAAACAAAAGGCCACCTTGACCAGCAATAGCAAAAAGAAGGAGCCATCTTGACCAGCAATAGCAAAAACAAGAGGTCACCTTGACCAGCAATAGCAAAAACAAGAGGTCACCATGACCAGCAAAAGCAAAAAGAAGGGTCCATCTTGACCAGCAATAGCAAAAAGAAGGAACCATCTTGACCAGCAATAGCAAAAACAAATGGCCATCTTGACCAACAATAGCATAAAGAAGAGGTCACCCTGACTGGCAATAGCAAAAACAAGAGGTCAGTCACCCTGACCAGCAAAAGCAAAAATCAAAGCAGTCACCCTGACCTGCAGTAGCAAAAACAAGAGGTCACCCTGACCAGCAATACCATGATAAGCATGATGAGTCAACAGTATATGCCCATTTTATGCACATGTTAAGCGCTTGTTAAAAAGGAACTGATGCCCATGGTCTGCTGCCCATCTCCTTGCTACATGTTGTTGGTCTAAAGGTTGTCATTGGTGCCATGTGTCATTGTTCCGTGTACATTAGTTACTGGTTACTGCTTGATTGAGAAGCTTCGTAAATGTGTTGGGTTAACTAATGCTTAGTCTCTGAATATATATAATTTTGATGCAAACAAATAATTCCTTTTTAATTGAAAAGGACCCCAGTGAGTTGGTTGATTCACAGGAACCTGAACCTGAGGAAATCTAGACTTCCTTCATTTAGGGCTCTACCATTGCAGTGAGGGCTAAGCAGAAGGATAAATAGTGCTTTTCAGGGACTGTGAGACAGACTAGTGTTTGCAGGAAAGTTGGGTTTAAATTGTGCACAGCTATTACAACATTCAAACAAGCATGCTGGGATGCAAGCAGGCTACTTCTTGAAGAAAGGATAGTTTTCCTGTCATGCATTCAAAAGCATAATCATAAGAAAGCCATTTATGAATGTTTTTGTGTCAGTTTTATGCATGGTGATAAACTGTAAGCAAAAGCTTAGAATAAGATTAACATTTTTACGAGTAAAGAAGAGCCTTTACACAAGTAAAGTAATGGCCATGGACCAGATGATCATGGTGAACTGGAGATCTTGTTCACTAGAAGTGGTAAAGATTTGTGTACCACTATCCAATTAAGATTATAGAATGTCTGTATCTACATAAGAAGACAGTAGATGGTGTAGCTGTATGAAGAATCATCTGTGTTACATGGAATAAATGACAGATTGAAAAAGCTGAACTTGAACTTGACTGTGAGATATAGTTGAAACCACAACCTGCCCTGAGCTGAAGTACGTGTAGCAGCCTGGAACATGTTGAGAAGGCTGTGTGGTGTGTGTAAATCACCTCCACAAACACAAGCAATGAGAAAGTCAACACTGCTCCTGAAACTGACATGGCTATACGAGCAAAGGGGAGCAGATTGTTGTCCTGAGAGTCTCTGCTCCAGCGTATTGCTGAACAAGGGGAGGTAACCAGAGCACTTTTTGTGGCATCATCACCGAGATGCGGTGTATGTTCAACAGCCTAAAACCTTGCTGCAAGTTACAATAAACATCATGTAGTGTTGTCATGGAATTGTCAGGGGCTTGAAAGCGTTCCTGTAGAACATATGGTTGCAATTAGGGGATTTTTGAATTTGTCTGTTCAGGCAAAAATGGCAAGACAGTTTCAATTTTGATCATTTGTAATTTGTTGGGTGTATAAAAGGATAAAATGTCAAGGTTATTTAGTAGAAGTCACAGAACCAGTTCATAATTGATGTTTCTAGACTGTTTGTAAAATTGTTTATTATATGAACATGGTGTCTTGTCTTGAACATGGTATCATCATGTCAAATATTTCTGTCAGGCAGTAGCTTGATGACTTTTGGCTCGCTATCATGTTCATATCATTTGTGAATAGGGTAGTTGCTGGAAAAGAAAAGATTCACACCAAACTCCATTCAAGACATTTATGTGTAAATTAAATAGAATTATTGCTTAGAAGATCTCATATACCATGTGTCATATGTTTTTACCCATTTACTGCAATAGGATATGGGTCATTTTTTCTTTTTCTGTTTCTAACCATGTACATGCTTACAGTTTGAAAATGAGCTGTCCTTTGTGTTGGATACTATTTACACTAATTTTTAAACTTATCCTATCTCCATATGCACTTCTCTCTCTTGCTTCGACGCTGAGTGGAACGAATGAGAAATTTTCCTGTAGGCCTCTCTTGTCCATACGCCCGTGTTCCCCAGGCTGCTCTCTTTATCGGACAGGTCACTAGTCCCTGGCTAAGCGTGCAGCATGTTCCCCTGTCTACCCACGTGACTACCTCAGAGTGATCATTCTACTTCTTGTCACACCACTGTGTGGACGTATTGTGAGAGTTTTCAGTTTTCCTTAAAAGTTAACATGAGAAATATATCATGGGTAGTTAACCCAAAGTAGCGTAATTTTGCGCACAATATAACAATATTTTCTTCCTTGGATCCCCTCTTATCATGTGTTGGTTGTATTGACCTGTGTTCCTGAAGCAAGCGTTGTCGGGAATGTGCTCCCTTTTCAAGGACGTTTTTAGAGCATATAGACATGCTTGCTCCGTTGGCTGGCAGACAGAGCTCGTAAGTGAATGATGACAAATAACATGTGTAGGTTTATACCACCTAACACGGGTTACAACAAGGGAGTATTAATTGCTGTATTGGATGTGAAAACTTATGGGCCGACACTGTTTTGAGAATACAAACAGATTTTAACATGACATGATTAAATATCGAGGTAAAAAACACAGAAATGGGATCGATTTGGATCAGTCATTATACAAATAGGGCCTAACGACACCAATCGATTTTGACAGAATCGCCTATGAAAACAAGTTGTAACTCGGAAACTAGGCAAAGCAGGAGACAAAATTAAATGACAGTAGATTGTGAGAACATATAGCTTTTATTTTCCACAACAACTGTCACGATTTCAGGTTTATACAAGCCTGTAAACAAGATAATTTAACCCCTAAAATGTAGATGAATTCTGCATCGGCCCTCAAAGCTATTCCTCATATGACGTCACAGACGCGCGCCGCTCTGATTGGTTGAAATTTCGTTCGCGGGTGAGAATTGTGCACTGTTGTCAAAAAGGTCGATTTAAGTCAATTAAAGGTCGAAATGAGTAGTTTTAATGACGGGGTTTCATTTATAACGATGCCAGTTAGTGATTGATGTATTTTAACCCCCTAGGGTTTATGTGACCTTTAATGGCAACTCTGTGGCAGGTCATTCACCCTGACAAGTGAAAATATAACTTTTCTATCCCTTTTCTATAATTTCTATCCCTGTCATGGCTATGATCACTAACTTTCTACATCTTATTGTACAAAAATATAATTGAGTTAGCAAACTTGTTAGTGGTGCTGGATTCATTCCTGTTGAGCCACTAATTGGCCTCATCCCAGCACCATACCCAGTTCCCCCAGTCCGCTACGTTTCCCCCTTAACATGCTCAGGTAAAGGAAATAACATGAGTTGAACTGTGTTTAAGGTATTTTTTATGCATTGTATGAGTGAGTGATAAATGTTTAGGTCGGTTTTTAGCAATATTACAGGACATCAGAAATGGGCTTCACATTGTACCCATTGGGGAATTAAACCTGGATATTCTTCGTGACAAATACATTGAATGAACAGGATAATATTAGCTTAGTCAGGTATTTTAATTTTTAATTTCCAACTTCAGAAGAAAAATTGAAAGGTATGATATATCTACGTATCGTTTCATGACAATAGAAGGCTCGTAATACGGAATCATTGTCAGCAATAGCAAAAACAAGAGGTTACCTTGACCAGCAATAGCAGAAACAAAAGGCCACCTTGACCAGCAATAGCAAAAAGAAGGAGCCATCTTGACCAGCAATAGCAAAAACAAGGTCACCTTGACCAGCAATAGCAGAAACAAAAGGCCACCTTGACCAGCAGTAGCAAAAAGAAGGAG